AGTTGTACTTGTGAGAACAATTTTTTGTATTTCTTTAAGGCATGAACTACCAGGAATCCCTTCAATGAGTCTATCAAAACCTTTTCTAATCAAACAGAGAGCTCCAACTACAACTAGAATTATTGATACCTTCATGTGCCACATATTTTACATTTCTCCTTCGTGATCCTTGTATTTTGTTAAGTTTTTTAAGATATTCGAAGATACATTACAGTCTGCAGGAAATGATATGCCGATAAGAATGCATATTCTGTTTTTATGATCTTTGATCATGATGTCTGGGCGATTAGGTTTGATTGTTCTATCGGTGACTTTAAAGTACCATAAAATTGCTACAGGTCGTATGTCTGCAATCGGGTCTGGGTGATGTTCATTTCTTGCAGTTTCCTTCCTGTAAAAGTTACAGATTTTCCAGTGAAAAAATTTGGCTTACCATGTTACAGAAAATTTTATATTCGGTGGATTCTAATACCGTGAAACCTGATGCAAGATGGTCAATTGTTTCTGGATACTCATTACAGAATCTGCATTTCGGTTTAACATAACTTTTCAGCATGTTTACTTGGTAATTTCTAGTTAGCAAGCATTAGTCGTGTGCAGCAAGAATAAAAACTTCGGTTTCAACTTTTAAGCTTGCAGTACGTGGCCACTGATGGGTACAGGGTTTGTCTACATCAGTTTGTTTGGCACGGGCAGAGTATGAATCTTATCTTGCCATCGTTTCTGGATTTGGTGCATTTGCCTTTGCATTCGTTTTTAGTTTTGTTTTTTTGTTTTTTTGCCGCTGCAGTAGGTGTATTATGATTTATTTGCATTTCCACTTGAAATTCCCTTTTGACACAGATCATCATTCATTGTTCTGTAGTTTCTAGGTATATTTAAAGACCGTTTTTTGTAGTTTTGTAAGACAGTTCTAGTTGAACTCATCCTCTGTCTCCTTCGAATCTGAACATATAGAGACGATCAACATCACTTTTAGGATGATACATGCGGTGGCAAGTGGGAAACTTTATCGTTTTGACATCCATTCGCTTAATGTCAGATATGGTTCAGTTAAAGATATTGAATCTATACTGCACCACAGGAAGAGTCTGTTTCTCTTTTGTGAATTCAAATCGTTATTTAACCCCAGACGCACACGTCTGTCATATCCTTTTTTTTTTTTACTTGGTATGCTGTATTCCATCTCCTCTAACTCCTAGGTATTTAGAGGCGCTTTCTTGTTGCAGTCCCCTAATCTTTGTGACAAGATCTAGATCTGTTGAGTTTATTTCTGTAATTCTTCTTTTCTTGAATATCACTTTTGCATATTTATCTCATCTGATGGCCATACTGATGTCATCACTGAAACATTTTACAGTATTGAAGAGACCTTTCAACTCATTGTCGTCTTTGGTAAAAAGTTTGAGATTATCCATATACAATAAGTAATTAAATAATAATAATAATAATAATAATAATTATTATTATTATTATTATTTGTGTATGTATGTTTCCTGCTTTGCATCCGAGTTCAAACTATGGTCCGTATGCCCTATAAGAGAATTTAATTGATAACACTTTCCTTAATATATGGGATATTCATTGTAGGACGATCTTCTGGGCACCTTGTATATTGATGTTACCTGGGACACTGTTAGTAAAATTGTCCATTTCTTTTCTCACGGGACCCAGAGCTAAGGTACTGTTTGTAAAAAATTTCCATTCCTTTTCTTACAAGGCCCAGATCTCCGATTACTATTGGCACAGTCTCAGTCTTCATTCCCAACAAAGGATCGATCCCAGCATGCGACACCTTTGGAAAGTGCCTGAAAACCATACCACGGGTTGACCCAAGCCTTGTGAGTAAAATCAGCACGAAACCACAAATCGTGGCCGAGGTCTTGAGCGTGCTGGCCTTATTCAAATCGTTGATCACGCTAGATAACACGCTCTTTCCCAGAAACTGTGACTAAGCTCTGCTCATCATAGTATAAACCATAGATGGACTCTGTGGGTGTTGAATAAACTCAAATGCGCCTGAGAAAGCGTCTGCAATAGGGATTGGTTAGCCGCCCTAGTAATTTTTGTACGGAAAGTAAGTTTATTGTTGTCTATCGCAGCTACTCCTCCTACCTATTGTGATAAAGGCCCAATCAAGAGCTCTCTGCAGGAGCTAGCTTGAACATTGCCCATTACGGTGTATTTTAATAGATAGTATATATATATATATATATATATATATATATATATATATATATATATATATATATATATCTCAGAGCCCACCTGAGCCTTAGTTTTTTGAAAGTGTGTTATCTAGCGTGATCAAACCCTCAGCATTTCGTGCTAGCAATTCCGTCAACCCAATTTCACTCACAAGGCCTGGGTCAAACCGTAGCATGGTTTTCATGCACTTTCCAAAGACCGATAACATAAGCCAGTCTCCTTCCTGACAAATCGACTATGGTGAGATTCGAACCCGGATCTCATGGTCAAAATATATATATATATTAGGTACCTCCATGAGATCGCTAAAAAAGAGCATCGCACGATGAAAAAGACGCCAAATTTGACGAAAAGAAAATTTTATCGTCTAAATGTTCATGTTATTATTAAGAGGAAAGATCAAAGTATTTTGGTGGTATTTTTTAACATTTTTTAATCGTTCCGAGCACGTCCAAAATTTTCGTTAAAAATCTTTTTTTTTTTTTTTTGTCAGCAAAATTGACATATAATCGATTATGGCATCCATTTTTTTCCATTTTATAAAAAAGATGAAAATCTCACTTTGAAATTCTTTTAAAAATCAATTATCATTTTTTCAAAACTTATTTTAAGAAAATCAGAAATTATAATGTTTATTTAAAATATTTTGAACCAATGTTCTGCGCTGAAAAGATGTAAGTTAAAAATAAAACAAAGCAGGTCATAACCTTTCGCGTCACTTGACAGGTGATGAATGAAGTATTGACGGGTTTACGTGATCATAATTTGTCCTACGGAAGGCGAAAAGTGAAGTTATTTAGATTTAAGTGAACAAATTATTTACCTCGTTATTTTTAAGGAAAACTTTCAGCGCTCTAACTTTTTTTTTTTTTTTTTACTTAGCTTTCACTTTTACGTTTATGATGCTTTATTGAAAATATATTATAAAGAAATTAAAATAAGACTGTTAAGAGTGAGATTAAATTTCATATTTCATAAGAAAGGTATCTAATTAATTTATAGGTACCTTTCTTATGAAATTTTATCAGAAGTGTACATAAAATATTATAATTTTATGTACATTTATTACATTTTACTGTGTTATTTGTATTTCCATTCATTTTATTATTAATTTTGAAATTTCATTTATGGAAAAATGTCATAACTGAGATTAATATAAAAATAAGATCATATAAATTTCATAAGATGATACTGATACTTGTAGGTACCTTCTCAGTTGAAATTGAAAAATAAAATTAACTTCTCCACACGTGTTTCGCAAAAGTAAAAGGCTTAACAGTGGAGAACAATACTTAACTGAAATAATGAAACTTAATTGTATTCTGGTTGGTCTTCCGTACTTTATAAATACAGCCCGATTATAAACACAAAATTACATTTCTTAATTACTGCGGATTTTCTGATTATTCAAAATGATACAAAAGATCTATCTCATAAGGAGACTTACGAAAGCTGATGCAGCTTTTAACTAATTTTATATTTTAACAACTTAAATGTAAAAATCTATTATAATTAAAGAAATAACAAATAATTGTATTAAAAATTCATTTTTCATCGAAAAATTTTTTTGCTTCCAGAAAATATTGTCCATATTCATAAAAACAACTAAAAGCAAATAAAAGCATTTGAAATTAAATAATATCTTTGTTTTATTGAGTTTTGTATGTTACAATTCAGAGCTGATTTTTAGGTCGTGCGGATCCAATTAAAACCAAAAAAAACATGATTTGCATTCCTCAAAGCCGTGTGCTTTTAACTATTGTAATCACTAAACCTGATGCAATCGAATTTCTAGCGTTTTCATAAAATTAGTTATGGCGGCGGTGGGGCGTAATAAATATAAAAAAATATTTCTGCCACGACTTTAATAAAAAAAACATATTTCTAATAATTTCGATCATCTGTGAATATTTTCTGAAAGTTTCATTAACATCCGACAATCATTTTTATTTTTTCAAGATTTTCCAAATTAATGTGTGTCATACAAAAAAAAAAAAAAAAACGTGCTAAAAATTGTATATATTTTACTAGTTCCTGTGCTACAAAGAGAAACAAGGTTTTTTAATCAAAATTTAGAATGTTCTAAAAAAAAAGGAAAAATTTTTTAAAATAATTTAAAAAAAAAACTTTGGCCTTTCCTTTTAATAATAACATAAGCATTTAGACGATAAAATTTTGTTTTCGTCAAGTTTGGCGTCTTTTTCATCATGCTATGCTCTTTTTTTTAGCGATCTCATGGAGGTACCAATATATATATATATATATATATATATATATATATATATATATATATATATATATATATATATATATATATATATAAAAAAGAAGAATTACAGTTTATTTTTTAAATGGAGCAGATACTTTGTTACAATCATAAAAAAGCAGTGAAAAGAATGTTGAAACAAAATTAATACGCTGGTAAAACAATTTTAATAAATAAAAAAGAAAATTTAGAAGGCTTATTTTCAAGGCAGGCATATTATTCCCGCTTAAAAAACATTATCTTTTTATCTCCATCCCACACTTGGTCATATACCATAGGCTTTGTTTTTAATTGATTTATTCGTTTTCTACGTCTTATCTCTCTTTTGAAGGTTACTTAATGCTAGATTTGAAGATTTTGTGGAGATAATAATGATTTACTGACATAAGTTGTATTAATTAACCCATAGCTTTCTCAAGGTTATTTGCGCGCAAGTGAATATAATGAACCCGACTGGAATTGGAACTCTGTTTTTCGATTAACAATTTCGAGCCATTATCTATTACATCGCTCTTAAAACCAATCTTACCGCACCTGGTATTCCTAAGCGGTTACCCATCTAGTTACTGACCAGGGTTGACATTGCTTAACTTCGGTGCTCATACGGGGATCGGTGTTTTCAATGTGATGTAGCCGTAAGCATTACCGGGAGCTAAATAGCAATAAATTCGTCCTCATTAACTGTGTTTTATACATCTGTTTTTTGTCTTTTCTTAAGAGGTTAAATATACATTTATTGAGTATAATTTATACACCGATAGATCAGAGAAGCTTCAACAATGGTCATACACTTGATACTTTTTCATCGACCTCAGTTTTGAAATTTCAGTACCTCCATCAGCATAAAGCAAGGGCCAGTAAGTATCAAATAAGCAGTCTGTCGTAAAGCAATAGTTAATAAGTTGATCTCGCAGTGTATTGAACTTGATAATGTGTAAATTCCTCCTTGGAGGGATTTCGCATTATTTATCATCTCTCAGTTGTGTCTCTGTACTTGGACAGAGTGCGCTCAGGGGCTTCTCTGTCTTATATTGAAGAGGTGCCCAGCCCTGGGGAACAGCTGCCCGAGGCCGCGCCTTTCCATTGCACAAGAGGGAGGGATTGGTGCTCACACCGAGACCAGCGCAAATGAGTAAACACCGTGTATTGAACTTGATCTTCACTGGGTGTAACACTATTTTGGCTCTGTACAGCAAAAAATTGAGTTTAGTATACAGCCATTAATCAGAAATTATTCAAATCAAATAAAAGAGGTAAAATTATTGATATTTTTCATTCATCCAATCGACCTCTGTATCAATTCTTCCACTTCACCGTGGCAACCCATTCCAAGTGTACTGAGTTCAGGCTTTACTGTGCGTTCCACGCTTGCGTTATTTTATTTTAGAAAATGTCTATTCCTGTATGACGAAATTTCTTGGTAGAATTTATTTTATCTTCTGTTTCTTTTTTATTTATTGTTTTTTCCGACATACTTTATTTGCTAATTTTAATTTAACTTATTTTGCTTACTTTTTAATCAATTCATCCAAAACCAAAGCGATAACGTCACTAAGACGCAAGGAGGCGACTGGAAGTGAAAGAGAAGGAAAGTTTTAGAAAGAACCGGAAACAGGAAACAAGGGATAAATCTCAACTCCCGTTCAAAACATCGGGGAGCAATGTAAACTGAATTTAATCTTAGTACCAACTATTAGAGTGCTCTTTAGTGCTATTACAGTAGTCATTGGGTTCACCAGGTAATGTAATGGTTAGCGGCTCGAAACGAGAAATTCCATTCTAGTTCGTTACATTCATTTTCACGCAAATACCATTGAGAAAATTATGAAACCAATTTTTCTCCCTACAGGTATGGGTTAAATATTAGGCCAGACTGGGCTCTTCAGCCTTGGGTGACAGCTAGTTTAGGAGAATCAGGACTCTGAATCCCTTAACGTTAGCGTTGGAACACGTGTTTGTCTAAGGGAAGGACAACCTTAACAGAAAAACCAACCATTCCTAAGAGTATAGAGGTTGGGCGTGGAATCAATCGCATGGAACAGTTCGATTACAGAAACCTCATTAAAGGGCCTTATGTACCAGGTATATAGCAGTAGTACAGTAGTCTTTAGTACCAACTAAGGCATTTTTAATCGAATAGTCTATTTCACCGGTCCCGGTAATATAGACATCAAGACTATTTTGCCGGTCTGGTAAAACAGACACGAAGTCTATTTTGACGGTCCCGGTATAATAGACACCAAGACTGTTTTACCGGCCCCGGTAAAATAGACACCAAGGCTATTTTGACGGTGCCGGTAAAATAGACACCAAGTCTAATTTGACGGTCCCGGTAAAATAGACATAAGGCTATTTTGACGGTGCCGGTAAAATAGACACCAAGGATTTTTTTGCCGGCGAATATAAATAGCATTTTCGAACTAAGAATATATTATATTTGGGATCGTCAGCGCAGTGGTCGTGTGAGCTATGTCGTCAGGAAAAATGAATGATTTTAACTTGTGTTTTATTGATTGATATTAGAAAAGATTTTAAATTGTCTTAACAACTGATGGTGAAAATAAATAAACTTCTGTGTTAAATCTGTGTGTTGTTATTTTTAAAATTACCTGACTTTATAGTAATAAAAATATTTACCGGCGTGTTTGTCTGTTTTACCAGGACCGGCAAAATAGCCACATCCTTTTTTAAAATTTACCTTCCTTAGTTTTGTGTCAGATTAGACTTGGTCATTCCAAATAACTAAGATTGTATTCGCATTCCTTTTTGTTCAGGTAGGATGACCAAAGGCGACTGGATCTCTGTTGCTTTAGATACGAAAACCAATAGTTGAAGAACAAATCTAGTCTGATACCTTCTTTTACCCGGAAGGTAGAGCGTTTCCATCTTTGATGTTTGTTTATATGCACTAGTTGTATTTGTAGTGATATTTCAGTTGCTTTTCATTGCAACTACTAATAAACAGCACAGATAGGAAATAAATTGGCGAAATTCGAACTTATATATTCTTTTTTCGTCAAGAAACCTATCCCAACATGACAGTTGCTCTACCGCTCAAGCTACGAAAACCAACTGTTGCAGAAGATCAAACCTATCCATATTTCAATGGCAAAATGCTGGTGAGAATTACTCAACTACTTTTGCCATCAAATAGCCCCTTCCACCTCACATATAGAATGTAATAAGCAGGTGTAAAATATTAATAAAAATAGACGCTAATTAAGCTTAACATATTCTGGCACAAGGCCACGACAATAAAGCATTCAGTAAGAATCGAACTCTTTATATGTGCATTAAAAGAAAAAGCAAGTTAAACTCAGTAAGAAAAGAAGATCATAGACATAGTGAAGAAAAAAGCGAACACAAGCCTGTTTAAGAAATACAAACACATAGATTGATTGAATGATTTGTTTTTTACGGCTTATCAACCTTTTGCAGGGTATTTAAAGCCAGAAAATATTTTTAGATTGTAAGCAATTTTTCAAGGATAATAATGATTTGCTGATACAAATCCTATTAATTAACCCATAGCTTGGAGGAGAAGAGATGGATTCATGCCTTTTCAAAGGGGATTTGAGCTTAAGTGAATATAATGAACCCGGCTGGAGTTGGAACTCTTGGAATTGCAATTCCAATCCGTTATCCATTACACCAGTCGCATATTCAAGCTTACAGCACCTGGTATTTCCAAACTGTCTGCAATCTTTGTACTGACCATGCACTATGTGACTTAACTTCGGTGATCGTACGAGAGTTTCAACGCGATACGGCCGTAAGCTTACAAACACATAGAGAAAGAAAAACGCAAAGGTAAAGTAAGAGAGAGGACAGTTTGGGAAAGAGAGAGAAAGAAGCTGCATGAAGAGTAGGGGAGGCAAAGAGAAAGTGACAGGGAGATTAAAAAAAGGAAGAATCAGATAAGAAGTAAAGAGAGAGAGGAGGAAATAGTTAAAGAGAAAGAAAATAGACAAGTAGATAATGAGAAAAGTCAAAACAGAGAGAAACAAAGTCGTAAGGAAAGAGAGAAATAAAGTGATGAAAAAGGAAAGTTAAAGGAAAGAAAGGAGAGTGTGAAATTGAAGAAAAAAAAAAGAGTCCAAAAATAAAATTTTAATAAAGCAAAGCAAGATAAATGGAAATGAAATGGGGTGAGGGTAAAACCATGGCTAACACGAATTGAAAGTTGCGAACGCAGGTTTGAAAAGAAATTCTATGAACGCTGTAAAAGATTATGCAATGCTTAGAAATAGAAGCACTGGTACGTGTATGGACGTGCAAATAGGTTAATGCTTAAGAACCAAAAAGGAATTGTTTTCAGTATGAGTCAACAAGTGTCCATTGCTTTTACTGGTTTACAGATGTTAAATATCCCAAAATAGAAGCAATGAGAAGGGTTAGTGAACGTTTTTAGAACAAAGCGTTTTATATAACTTCATACAAATATTTTCGACAAGTTTTCTATACCATAAAATTGTCGTTATACACCCTTGTGCAAATTAATTGAACAACCGCTTTAGTTTCTTTCGCCACACACTCAGTTTTAGACCCACTGGAGTGACAGTATGTTATCGATTTCTATTTTTTACCCCAGATTAGGTCATTTGCAGTGGTGTGCAGTAATATGAATCTTTTTTCGGGGTGTATGATGAAATTTATTTGGCATTGAAGAATATTGCGTCATCCGTGATTGCATCAGATTTTTATCATGCCCAGACATTATTGTCTTGACTGTTGACTACGGCCATTGTCTGCGATGGACGTCACTCCAAGGAAGCGTACGAAAATTGTAACGCTGCACGAACACACAGACAAGTCTTACCAGTGAGCGAATCAAAGTACTATAGACTGACCCGGAAACTCTCCGGATATAAATCCAATCGAGAATCTGTGGTCAATCTGCAAGAACCTTCTCGAGAACCTTCCCAGCAGCCTCCAATAAAGTGGTACCTCGATAGTTACCACATATAGATTTTTCACCTTTCCCTTTGCATAGGGAGAGCGGGATATCATCGACCCAGTGTGGAGCCGAATTCCCATTCCAACAATCGATAATGAGATTAGCTATCATTTCCATCGCGTTCTGACGTCCAACCTTCAGTAATTCAACCGGAATGCCATCTAGACCAGGTGCTTAATTTGTTTGATTGCCTGTCTGACTTCGTGAAGAGTAAGTTGACGATCCATATGGTGTACAATGTCATACTGTGACAGGCTCTCTATAATGCTGTTATCGACAGAAAAAGGATTATCAAATAGGTCTGTGAAATGCTCTTCCAATCGTTGAAGTATTTCTTCTGGTTCTTTGATGGTATTAGCGTTGTCTTTTGACTTCAGACGGGTAACTGAGAATGTTGGTGGACCAAACACCTGATGTATCAATGAATAGAACGATTTAAAGTCTTTAGTGTTAAAAGATTGTTGAATATCAGAGGCCATGTTCCGCCACCAATCATTTTTCATCCTGCGTAGTTCACATTATAGGATTAACTTGTGGTCCTTGTAAACTTTCTCAGCTGCTGGTTGCTTTTCAAAATTCTGGTTAAATATCTTTTCATATAGAGCGTGCTTGGTTTCCAATAGCTGGTTGATTCGAATGTTATTGTCTCAAACCAATCCTTGTGTTTTCTGATTCTGAAATC